TTTTTTTTTTTTTCCTCCTTCCCTCCCTGCCCCCTCTGGAAGTGTCCGTGAGGATGTGACTTTGCCGTGTGCAGGCTGAGAGGAGCTGTCCAGTGGTGCAAAGTTGTCCCTCCTGCTGTCCCCGCGCGTCCTTGGGTGTGTTTAGTGACGGTGGGACGCCGCTGGAATCCCGGGAGCGCTCGGAGATCCTCAGCTGCTGACAGGACATCAACACAAGTCACCTGGTTGGGTTTGGGGTTTTTTTTGGGGGTTGTTTTTTTTTTTTTGTTTTGGTTTTTTTTTTTTATATATATATGGATTTATCCTTATTTTTTTCCGTGCTTGGATGTTTGAAGCAAAAGGGGAAGCCCACGCTGCGGGACCGTCTGCGCAAAGCCCTTCTTGGTCTTCGGACAGAAGCAATGAGGAGTGATTTCAAAGAAAGCTTAGAAAATTCAGCTCAGGGAGCCACGAAAGATAAAGCAACTTATGTGTTTTGTATTCAAATGAAAGTAAAGAATTAGAATTGATAACCTTTAAAGAAAAAAAAAAAAAAAAAAAAAATACAGATTTTTTTTTTTTTTTTTTTTTTTTTTTTTTGTTTTGGTTTTTTTTTTTGGGTTTTTTTTGTTTTGGTTTTTTTTTTAAGAAGCAAAAAGTTTACTAACAAGTAGGGTTTGTGTGTGGTGGGGGGGGCCGGGGCTGGTTGTGGTCCTGTGGGCTTTATGGTCTTGTGTCTTCTGGTCTTTTGGAGCAATCCCCTCCCCCCACAGGCCTGTGTCAGCCTTTTGTACTAAAGGGTTAAAAAAAGGACAGAAAAAAAAAAAAAAAGGACAAAAAAAAAAAAAAGACCTAATGGGCAAATAAAAGTATTTGTGTAGCAGAAGTGCTCACCCTGTATTGTAGCATATGGAAGAGGATTTTTATACGACATTTTTATGGATTATTTTTTGCGATTTGAATCTGGTCCAAAATTAATAATGATTAGGGTTGTGGGGAGAATGGTTTGGAGAGGGGGGAGAGGAGGATGGAGAGTTGGTACCTGGCATTGCATCCCTCTGAGGAGCCTCTCTCCCAGCCCTGCAGCTGTTCCACGTGTGGACAGTTGAGCTGGGGTTGGAAGGAGGAGAGATCTCATGGGAAATCATTATTTTTCCCATCAAAATAAGAGGTTTTTGAGATTTTTAGCCCTTTTCAAAGTAAAAATAAGGGAAGGACCCAGGCACAGGGTGTGTGTGGTGTGTGGGATCACTTTTGGGCACTGATGATCCAGCAAAGGAAAAATCAAGTTCTTTCAAGCTGCGTTTAGGGCGAGTGATTTTTAGGGTGGTTTGGCTCAGATTAATGACTCTGAAGGTGCCCCCGGTGCCAGCAGGAGGGGTTCAGTGATGCCCCAGGTGTGTTTTGGGGCTCGGGTTGATCCTGAGGCTGGTTGGGATCTGTGGGGGGGGCTCTGTCCATTCCCCTGTGCCCCCAACCCTGGGCACAGCATCCCCTCTCCGTGGCCTTCGGAGCATCCCCGTCTGCACAGATGGGATGTGTTGGAAAGGCTTGGGGGGCTCTGACCTGCTCCCAGGGCAAAACCCTCCAGCAGTGGGGTCACCCCCAGCTTTGTGTCCCCCAGAGTCACTGGTTGGCAGGTCGGTGCTTGGTTTTCCTCCCCGAAATAACGAGAATAAAATCCAGGAAGTGCATGTACCGGAGCTGGCCGAGCGTTCCGGAGTCAGGCTCTCAACTTTACACCAAAGTATGTAGCAGAATCTGTACAGCTGTTAATAACTACCACTGGTTTTTGTAAAAAAGGGCAAAAAAGAGAAAAAAAAAAAAAAGAATAAAAAGTAAATGTACTGAAGCTCAACTGAAAGCAAAGTGTCTCTAAACCCTCTGATCCCTGAAATCCTGCACTGAGGGGTTGATGAAAGCACGAGAAGGTGGGGGGGGCTGGGGGGCACAGGGCCCTCCTCATCCATGGGGTGATGATGGAGGTCCAATGGAGGAAGAGCTGAGCTCAGGATTGATGGGAGAAGCCCCCTGGATCCCCACCCTTGGCATCTTCCCCCTCACCAGGTGCCAAGGGATGGGCTCCACCTTGGGCACCCCTCAGACACCCCAAACCCCATCCTTCCCTTTTCCATCCCAAAGGCATCACCAGCAGCTTTGTTTCTGCTCCTGCCAGGACTTGGGGATGCAGGGGAAGGGCTGGGAACGGGGCACCCAGCACCCAGGGGGTGCCCAAGGGACTGGGTCGGGCGGCTCCCAATCCAGGGGCTGTGTGCCCTGGCATTCCTGTGCTCCAGCCCGGGCACCCCTGACAGAGACAAAGCACTTCCCTTGAACTAGGACATATGTAGGGTCCTCCGGGGGCTCCGGTGATGTATTGGACATGACAGGGCCTGCTGCGAGGGAGAAATAAAAAGCAGGAGCAGCACTCTGCCCGCTTGGCTTGCCGATAATGTGCAGCGGGAGAGGGTTAGGAGTGCATTTCAATCTGATTTTAAGCTGGATGGAACGAGGGGCTTACACAGGGGACCATTAAAAGATCAAAATCGCAGGCAATCCTTTGTTGGAAGATTTGGATTCCCGGCGCAGGGGAGCGGAAGGGACCCGGCCCCCCCGCGCCGCCCCCTCGGCACCTGAGCGGCTCCAGCTTCGCCTTTCAACAGTTCCCAGCAAACTGTTGCCCTTTGCAGCTCATTTGGTTGGGCTCCAGCCTTTCCAAGTGCTGAGGGAGGAGGTGCTGGAGCCGGGCGTGCTCTCTCCCGTTCCCGTTTATGCCCAACAGCTGGACTTTTAAAGTATCCCGGGCCCCCACACTAATTTTTTTTTTTAAATTATGTATTCATAAGGGCCTTTTTTAATGTGCTTTTAGTCAGGCTTGGATGGTGCTGTGACACACTGGGGTGTGATGGCAGAGACTTCAAGCAGCAGCTGGCAAATCCAGTGGGAGTTACTGCGGGATCCCCCCAGGATCCCAAGGATGTGCAGGTTGGCCATGGCCTGGCATCCTGGCAAACGGCACCTTTTGGGGGGCACTGCCCACTTTTTATCAGTGATTTCCTTCTGTGAGCATCGTATTCCTGCAAGGAAGGGATTCTGTGGGGGTGGGCAGGGATTTGATCCCGGAAGATGCTGAGCATCAAAACTGAGCCGTGACCCTTTTGGGGTCCCCCTGTAACCTTTCTCCTCTGGGTGTCCCCTGCAGTCCTCACCCTTTTGGGGTCCCCCTGTCCCTGCCACCCTTCCTGGTGCTCCCCTGCCATTGCTCCCAGCTGCTTTCCCACAGTGATGCCCACCCTGGAGCCTGAGCTGAGGCCCAAGGTCCCACGGGGAGGGTGCAGTGGCTGGGTGCAGCTCACTGGGTGCAGGTCACCACCCTGTCACCCCCGAGCTGGGCACTGCCCCCCCTCCCCCTCCTGGCTCTCGGGGTGCAGCCGGTCCATGATCCTCGGGGAAATGGGAATTCCCAGCTCCCAGTGCAGGGCCTGGGCTGGGGGACGAGGTGGGGCTGTGCTGGGGGCACCACAGGGCTCCTGTGCCACTGGTGGGGGGCACGTGTGTCCCCTGCCCCGTGGTGACCCCTGGGGATGCTGTCCCCAAGGAGCCTGCCTGGAAAAGCTGCTTTTCCCACAGTCTCTGCTCCCCGAAGGGCAGTGCTGGGAAATGGGCAGAGCTGTGCCATGTGTGCTGTGCCATGTGTGCTGTGCCACGCTGTGTGTTCTGTGCTGGGTCATGCCATGCTCTGCCGTGTTGTGCCAAGCCATTCCGTGCTGTTCTGTGCCACTCTGTCTCATGTCATGCTGTGCCATGCCCTGTGTGCTGTGCCATGTGTGCCATTCTGTGCTGTTCCGTGCCATTCTGTGCCACATCATGCTGTCATGTTGTGCCATGCCCTGTTTGCTGTGCCATGTGTGCCAGTCTGTGCTGTTCCATGCCATGTCATGCCGTGTCATGCCATGTGTGCCACGCCACGCACGCATCCTGATTTGTTCCATGCCTTTCCGTGCCGTGCCGTGCTGTGTGTGCCACACTGTGCCACACTGTGCCATGCCATGCCGTGCCAAGCCGTGCCCACCCCAGCAGTGCTGCAGGCCACACCGGGCTGTGCCCCAGGCTGTGCCCCAGGCACATCCATGTGCTGTGCCCATCATTCCTGCTCCCCTTCCCGCTCCGTTATCCCGGGCTCCGTGCCCGGCTCGGGGAGCAGTTCACCCCGGGGGTGCCCAGGGCATCACCCCCAGAGCAGGGCACCCCGGGAGCCCTTTCCCACCCCTTCCCATCCATCAGCCTCCCGCTGCCGCGGCACCCACTCGGTTGCCGGGCTGGGAACACCATCCCCGGGCTGGGAACAGATGGCAGGAGGAGGCTCGGGGACACCATCAGCTGTTGTTATCGCTGGCTGATGACACGGAGTGTAAATTCTGTTGGCACTACTCCCTTCGTCTGTTCTGCCTCTGCATCCCACCAGTTTTAATTACTGTAATTGAGTTATAATGAATGATTGTGCGCTGCCATTGTCTGTAATGTGGCGGGGAGGCTCCGGTGCCGAACACACTCCAGCTAACGACGAGCCCCTCCTCGCGCTTTGTTTATCTGGTTGAAGGGTGTCATCACTTCAAATGGCACAGATAAAACAGCAGCAGAGTGGCTGCCTTTAGATGTTTATCGTTTTTCTCTTCTCAGGCGCTGGTGCTTCACTGAATCCCAGTGGAAAACTGCAGAAAGAGATAAAAACTAATTTGGCTTAATCCCTCTTGGAAAAAAAAAAAAAAACCAACAACCGGAGCCAACGCAAAAAGCAGAACAGCACAACAGCAAAAA